TGCCACGCGCTGGAGTGTTCTGTTTCACGTGGCCAGTGTCACATGTTGTTTTCACATCGTTTCTTAGCATGCTAGTACATCTCAATACCTTTCGTCTTTTTCCTTTCCTTCCTGTCATGTTTTTGGCCCTGCCTGTGTGTGCATGTGTGTGTGTGCGTGTCTGCATGTGCACGCATGTGTGTGTGCGCGTGTCTGCATGTGCACGCATGTGTGTGTGCGCGTTGTGAAGCGTGTGGGTGTCTGCCTGTGCGGGAGAGTGTGCAAGTGCTGTGGGGTGCGTGAGGTGTGGCGTGTGTATTGTGGGGTGTGTGTGGTGTGGCGTGTGCATTGTGGGGTGCGTGAGGTGTGGCGTGTGCATTGTGGGGTGCATGAGGTGTGGCGTGTGTATTGTGGGGTGTGTGTGGTGTGGCATATGCATTGTGGGGTGTGTGGGATAAAGGAGCTGGATGCCTTGCTTCCCTCTTTTGCACAGACTCCTCACTGCGGCTTTGCCGGGTTTGCATCATGCTATTTGACACAGCACAAAAGCTCACCAGAAGGCCAATGCCATGCTCTTGGACTTTGCAGGGCTCGGAGGAACTATGATGCACTAAATAAACTTGATGTTCTGTCATTAATTACCCAGTCTGTGGGTCTTGCTTATGGGCAGCAGAAAGGGATAGAAAACACAGCAAAAGGGCAGGAGAAGTAGTAAACTGAAAGGCCAACACGGGACTAAGAGCCTACTTTTTAGGAGGGCATCAGGTGTCCGCACAGATACGACTTCTCCGTAACTAAGTCCCACCTGGGGTCCTGGTAACACTGAGGAGGACCAGGAGGGGACCCGTGTGTCAACCAGCTTGCCCCTGCCAAAGCGTCCCCTCCCGGATGCGGTCCCAGAAGGCGTTTCTGGCCCTGGGCCCAGGGAAGGGTCACCGATGGGGCACTGTTCCGTGTCTGCGAGGAGGCTCTGTCACTGGTAGTGCAGGTGTGGGGAGAGAGGCTTAGCCCTGGAACCAAAGTACAGTGTGTAAAAGGATGTGAATCTATTTTGTTCTTACCAGAACCAGGATGTATAAATGTGTGCAGGGAGAAAGGAAGAGCCAGAGTGTTAAAAACAGTCTACGTGTCCATCAGGCAACAGGCAAGTTTTATGCCATGCTTGCGCAGTGGTGTGGAGAGGGGACTGGCGGTGTTGGTATGGGTCGGCAGAGGTGCTAGACACGCCACGGGACCATGGAGGGCACAAGCACCTCCTGCCAAAGCCGGGGGAGCCGTCTGGAAAGCCAGGAGGTCCGCG